TTTTTTTTTTTTTTTTTTTTTGGGGGTGGGGGGGTGTAGACTATAGTAGGTGGGCTTGTGCCTAATTAAATCGATAATAGTGGTACTACTATCTTGGTTGAATTACAACAGAGAGAGAGAGAGAGAGAGAGGTTTCTTTATCTTATTTTTGAAAGAACTTGAATTTCTTTACTTTTAGAATGATTTTATTGCTTTCGGAATGTGAAGAAATCAATCAAGTTTATTGATTAGAACTCAGGATCGTATTGATATGAGTTAATTCTTTTTGTGATTAGCATAATGCTAATATAATGATCAACAAAGACGTCCAACAAAATCCAATTTCGATACAAAATTAAAGTCCTGAGATGAAACTGTCAAATTAATAAGTTAGGGTGTGGCAATTTATGATTTGATGCAAAAGTATTTCCATGATAGCACAATTGGTGTTGAACACCAAGTCGTGTGACATTTAAGTGGTATCAATTGATAAGACAATTCGAATTAGACTCCTATTTGTACTTTTAAAATGTCATATTAATTGATGACACTTAAGGTTAGTATTTAGCACAAATTATTCTATGCAGCGTTGCGGTTGTGCTATGATAAGTGTAAATATTACAATTATTTTAGCGTTTAAAACAAGACTTTCGAAAATAATTTTATGAACTAGATACTTAATTATTGTTTGTTTCTTATTATTTTAGCAGAAAACTGGTGATTGGACGAGAACATATGATAAAGAGGCAATAATTGATCAAAAAGGAGTAAAGTTGGGCATATTTTGAAAGTTGTCAACCAAGAAGTTACGTTAGAAAGTTGAAGGACCTCAGTTGCAAAATTTAATGACTCAATCTGAATTAAAAGAGGAAACAAAGATCCAATCACAAAAGAAAAGTTTAATTCCAACAATTTGAGATATCCTACTTGGAATTAAATTATGGTTCTCAATCCTTTTGAAACTATATTTTAGATTAATTTAGGTCTGTAAATATGAATATTTTATTCCATAATTGGGGAGACTAGAAATATAATCTTGAGGCATAATTACACATCCAAATACATTGAATCCTCAAGATTTATATCTAAATTTGGGATCTGAAGGTTGAAGAAAACATTTGGCCGAGGAGATATACAAGCTTGGAAGTTAGATTGACGATCTATTGATGGGAATTGAGTACCAAGGAACAACAATTGCTAAGATTTTTTTTTTTTTTAATTCTTTGTATTAAACTCGGTGATATTTTTAATCTTTTTTTATTTATTTTCTCAATTATGATTGGCTAAATAATTGGTTGTTAAGATGAACGAAGTTGCGGGATGAAATACGACAGTTTATTGCTGGTTCTACATAACCAACCCATGTAACTTAGGTTTAATATTTATTTAATGCCAAAAATTTCATGCAACTTGAGTATGTGTTAATTATTTATTGTGTGTTTAATGCGTAAATTGCTTGATCACCAATTGATTGATTTAGGAATAATACGGAAATTGAGAGATAATTACTATGTTTGATATCCATTCTTCTAAAATGCATTTTTCTCTCTATTATTTTCAATAACACATTTTTTAATAAAATAATATTAAACGCAAATTCAAATATTTTTCTTATTTTTTAACCACATATTTTCCATTAAAACACTATTTAAAATGCATTTTTTGGAGTATAATGTGGCTTAAACAGGATGAATATATGATTCTAGCTCGTGCAGTAAATGACATAGGTGTTATAAGAGATCGAGAGATACTTTATAGGTTATGCAATCATGATTAAATTTCTAAAATCGAATGCTTTTACATGTGTATGAATTTACATAGATATATAGTAAATCCGGACATGAAATGTGTTAGTTTTATTCGAGAGAGACTATTGCATAAAATTGGTTAATTCGATTGTTAATACATATGAAAAATAGGATGAATGAATTTGACTTGATTGAACGTTAAATA